TTTCGTGTAAATCGAAGGATATATAGGGAGTTTGGTGCACTATTTACCTAAAATCGGACTAAAATATATATGGGAACTATATCTAAATCTGAACCGATTTTTCCCAATTTCAATAGGGTTCATCCTTGGTACTTTTCGAACACATAATTACACATTTTCAAGACTACTTCCATACCACCACCACTAAATTTAGTACCAGTTAGTATAAAAAACCCTTTGGTACTTCTTTCTAACTCTCCGTCAGTGACCCACATTACAAACTTTTGGTTTCCAGCTCTCTCCGTTGCCGAAATCGAAATTTAGTGCATTTGCTATTCTATTTACTATTCCTACACATCAATTCGAGTTTCCAAAGTTATCTCCATAGCTAAATACTACACTTCAACAGTAATCTAAATTCCAAATCTCAGGATCCAACCAAATCCAAATTGTTCCAAATTTAGTACCATCATAGTCATACGTAAGAATTTCTAAAACTACATCAATCTTACTCTCCAACAGTAATCTTAAGCCCACCAAAGTCCAAATTTAGTACTTTTCGTACTCATAAGTACGAATTTCCAAACATACCTCAATACTGATTTCAAATAGTAATCGTGAGTCAAAAATTAAGAATTCCAGATCTGTCTGTTCACCAAAAACCAAATTGTACCAGATTTGGTACCATTCTGTACTTTTCGTACCCATATTCCAAACTATATCAAATCCAATTCTACAAGTTCACCTAAGTCCAAATTGTACAAAATTTTGTGCTTTTCGTACCCTTATGTACGAATTTCCAAAACTACCCCAGTCATGTTCTCCAATAATAACCATTAGTCCACATTTATGAATTCCAGCTCTATCCGTTCACCAAGAACCAAATTTAGTACCATTTATTAATTTTCGTAGAGGTAAGTACGATTTTATAAAACTTCCTCAATTCCACACTCCAACAGTAATTTTAACCATAAATTTCAGGATCCCAGCCCTATCCGTTCACATAAATCCAAATTGTAGCATATTTAGTACCATTTAGTACTTTTCGTACTTTAAGTTTTAATTTTCAATACTGTCCCAATCCTGTACTCTAACAGTAATTTTATTTTCAAATATAAGTTTTCTATTTCTATGTCTATCCGTATCCTTTCATTTAAATCCAAATTGTACTAAACTTAGTACCATTTAATTTTGATTCCAGCTCACACAAAACGAATTGTACTCTATTTAGTACCAATTAGTGCTTCTCGTATCCAAAAGTGCGAAATTTCAATACTACCTTAATCCTGTGATTTGCATTCCAAATTTAAAATTTTCATCTCTTTCCATTCACACTGATCTAAACTGTACCAAATTTAGTACCATTTAGTACACCTAATGACAAATTTTCAAAACTACCGAAATCCAACAGTAATATTAATTCAAAATTTCAGGATCTCAACCCTATCCATTGGTACCATTTAGTACTTTTTTCTACAATTAAGAATTTCCCAAACTCCGTCAATCCTACACCCCAAAAGTAATTTTAATTCCAAAATTATGGAGTCCAACTATATCCATTCACACGTAATCAAGTTGTACCAAATATAGTACCATTTAGTAAACATAAGTACTATGCTTCCATGTCTTAATTCTATATTCTAAAATCAACAATTATACCAAATTTTAGGTTTCCAGCTCTCTCCGTTCACCCAAATCCAAATTGTACCATATCTAGTGCCGTTTAGTACTTTTCGTGCACACAAATACGAATTTCCAAAGATGTCTCTTTAGCTCAATCTTCAACAGTAATCAGAATTCCAAATTTCAAGGTTTAAGCTCATTCGTTTAAGCAAAATCCAAATTGTACTATATTTAGTACCATTTAGTACTTTTCGTACCAATAAGTACGAATTTCCAAGACTCCAGATCTGTGAACCGAAATCCAACTTGCACAAAATTTAGTACCATTAAGTACTTTTCGTACACATAAGTACGATTTTTAGAGGGACCTCAATCCTGTATTCCAACAGTAGTCCTAATTCCGATTTTCAGGATTCCATCTATATACACTACGCATTTTTAAAACTACCTCCACGTCTCATCCTACACTCCACCCTTAATTTTAACTCCAAATTTTAGGATTCCCGCTCAAACAAAACGAATTGTACCATATTTAGTACCATTAAGTGTAAATAAGTACGAAATTCCTATACTTCCTTAATTCTGTAATTTTCATTTACCATCTCTATCCGTTAACTCTAATCAAAATTGTACCAAATGTTGTACCATTTAGTACACATGCTGACGAATGGTACCATATTTAGTACCATTAAGTGTAAATAAGTACGAAATTCCTATACTTCCTTAATTCTGTAATTTTCATTTACCATCTCTATCCGTTAACTCTAATCAAAATTGTACCAAATGTTGTACCATTTAGTACACATGCTGACCAATTTTCAAAACTACCGACATATCTCAATTCTGCACTCCAACTGTAATATTAATTAAAAATTTCAGATTATCAGCCTTTATCATTTAGTACGTTTTGTTTCTATAACTAAAAATTTCCAAACCTATGTCAATCCTACACTCCAACACATGGTACAATTATAAAAGGTAACAGCAAATCCCAGCTGATTTGATTCCAACGTAATACTAGTGTCAATATGAATTTGACAAATTATGTTTTTAAAAATCACCCAACAGGAAAATTGGGAACGCATACAATTTGAAATTGTTCATTATTAAATGTGCTCCCGTATTCAATTTACTCAATCTGCCTGCTGGGAAAGTTTCAAGAAGCAAATCTTTCTTCAAGGAATGACTCGCTATTCCCAGTATTTTCATATGTGTTACACATATATATGGCAATGGCTCAATTATAGGAAAGATGTGGAAGCGATAGAAATATAAATTTGATAGATTTTCATTCATGTTTCTCAATTTTTATTTTGAGGATTCGAAAATATTTCATTTTCAAAATAAAAATAATTTGATGATAATTTGTTTGTTTGTTTTCATTTTTCTGTCAAATGAGTTGACACTAGTAGAACTTACAACAACAAATTTCCATGTGGTTGTTGTATCGTTTTTTGTACAACAACACTTGCTGTTACCTTCTATTATTATACCATGACTCCAACAGTAATTTTAATTCCAAAATTCTGGAGTCCAGCTCTATCCGTTCTCAAAAAACAAGTTGTACCAAATATAGTACCATTTAGTACACATAAGTACTATACTTCCATATCTCAATTCTATATTCCAACAGCAACCATTATTCCAAATTTTAGGTTTCCAGCTCTCTCCGTTCACCCAAATCCTAATTGTACCAAATCTAGTGCCGTTTAGTATTTTTCGTACACAAAAATACGAATTTGCAAAGATGTATCTATAGCTCAATCTTCAACGGTAATCTTAATTTCAAATTTCAGCTCTATCCTTTCAAGCAAAATCCAAATTGTACAAAATTTGGTACCATATAGTACTTTTCGTACCAATAAGTAACTACCTCAATCCTACATTCAACAGTCATTTTTTCACAATTTGAAGACTACAGCTCTATCTGTTCACCTAAATCCAACTTGCACCAAATTTAGTACTATTTAGTATTTTCGTACACATAAGTACGATTTTTTAAAGCTACTTCAATCTTGTGCTCCAATAGTAGTACTGATTCCGATTTTCCGGATTCCATCTCTATACACTCAACTAAATGCAAATAGTACCAAATTTAGAACCATTTTGTACTTTTTATACACATAAGTACGATTTTTTAAAGCTACTTCAATCTCGTGCTCCAATAGTAGTCCTGATTCTGATTTTCCGGATTCCATCTCTATACACTCAACTAAATGCAAATAGTACCAAATTTAGTACCATTTTGTACTTTTTATACACATAAGTACGAATTTCTTTAAGCATTTCCATACATCAACACCACTTCCCAACCTGTATTCCATATAAAATTTCAATATTCTAGCTATATAGGTTCAATATGTTCAAAATATATACAATTAGAACTAAATTTAGTAATTTTTAGTACTTTTAGTACACTTATAAGTCGAATTTCCAAAAACCCTTTTGTACAGCTTTCTAACTTTCCATTAGTGACCCACATTCCAAATTTTAGAATTCTAGCTCTTCCCGTTCGCCTAATACAAAGGGCGCCATATTTGGACATTTTAGTACTTTCGTACCCTTCTAGTTCGAATTTCCAAAAACCCAGCCTTATCTCACGCCTACACACCAACAACACACAAAATTTCAAGCTCACTCCCTCACCCACTTAACACTAAGCTCTTTTATATATATATATATATATAGATTTGTCAATAAGGTTTTTTTAGCAATTGAGACAATTCATGTTTCACAGGTCGGAATTGTATACCCTCCTACATGTGGTGTGAATTCAAAATTTCTTAAGAAAGCCGGGAACAATATCATTTTAAAAATTCAAAAAATGGAATTACAGATTTCATTTTGGCTTTCCTTTTCATTGCAACTTCGATCATGTAGCTCATCTCAAAAGAACATTTACATGAATGATCCTTCGCCCTAAAAAGGCATAAAACTCGAAATTACAGATAGTTTGGTAGAAAGTTCTGGTTATGAACTTCAAAATACATTCCGGAAATGGAAAATGGTACTAAACAAAAAGCGCGACAAATTAATGAAATCTTATGATTTCTTCTCAAAGTCTAGACGGAAATACACCTCATTCAAAGCAGTCAGTCCTCATCCTTAATCCACTATTACCTGTTGGTTATACCATTTCGTTGGGGAATCACAATACGTTACATCGTGATTTGCTGCATTAATGCAATTAAACCTCGAACAAAATCAAACTACGTAGTATCAGTATTACGTACAATCGACCTAAGTATTTGAGTGTAAAAGTGAGAATTATCTCTTTAGCGGCGAGTGTTTTCGCCATCTGCTTATCAGTACCGGTGTCTGAAGTGCAACAACCACCAAGAAATTTTAATAATTCGTAGTTAGAACACAAAACGTACCAGTGCTGCTGAAGACCAGCGATGTGGGCGCTAGTAATTTTGACGTTCTTGGCTTGCGTTTGCGTGATTGCATTTTTGTACCTTACATGGAATTTCAACTATTGGAAGAGTCGACATGTGACTGGGCCAAAGCCGACAGTTATCAAAGGCTCCTTTCCAAAAACCTTTGGCGGCGTTTGTAATTTAGTTGAGGAATTGCATCAAATATACTTGTAAGAATCTATTCGACAATACGTGAGTGTTTGTGGTACCTCTCTATGTTTGTGTTTGCAGGCGGTATAGGGACACCCAAAGCTTCGTGGGTGTGTATTCAGCCCGTAGTCCCAAGTTGTTTATTCTTGACCCTAAATTGGCGGTATCGGTACTTAAATCGAAGTTCAACAGTTTCCGCGATAACGAATCTTCATTGTGGGTAAGTATAATCGGAGGCATGCTGTTGATTTACTTCACTCCCTACATAGACAAATATCGCAAAAATATTAGAAACTAACAGAGTCTTGCAGTACGGGAAAAGATCAACGTCTCAGAAATTCTTTGAAAGGTTTCCTTCGAACGAGAATGCTGGTTCAAACATTAAGATCATATCTGAATTGAAATGGTATTTCACAAGACCGGACAAGTATACAGTTGTAACATGTTTATGCAAACACATCAATTTCGTTCAACTTTGTTTGAGACCGTAAGGAAATAATATCCATGTTTGTCAATCGAGGAGCAAATAACTCCCATATATATTTTCGACTGATTTCATGTCAATTGTGCACAAAATAATGAACTGCAGCACAAGGGATAATGAATAGTTTGATTTAAATCGATTTACATAAATTTGTACCGTTTTTTCAAAAACGACTCTAAATCTGCCCCAATGAAAAGGAATTTTGAGTAGGTTGCAGAAGCATGTGAATGGATTGATTTAAGTCGGTTCACATATATATACATATCACATATTTAATCTAGCCCAATCTCATGTCGATGGTCCTTCAAAAATGCTACAATTTTATAAAAATGTCTGTTAGGATGCATCTCTTGAATATATCCAAAGTGGTAAAGGGTATCATATAGTCGAGTGCGCCCGATTTTACTATTTTCCTTGCTGATGTTGAATGTTAGGACCGAAAAATTGAATTGAATGTTTGGACCGAATAAATAGTTCGTTATATCCGTAGTTCGCTATAAGATTAACATTTTGTAAGAAAAATATACCTTAAATGACGTACTTTAAGAACGATTTAAATATTTTGTTAGTGTTTTAATGAACGAAGTCATTATGTTCAAAACAAATTTTAATTGCATACAATATATATTGAATATCAATAGGATATTCCTATGGGTTCTACAACAGAACATATATTTCAATTTGTAATCATAATATGTAAATAACACTTTGCTTACTATAGACGTCGCAGCAAGTGGAAAAACTGAGATTCTGCAGTCCCTTTGTGTCGGTCGGTGATGAGTGGAAGAAAAAACGCACAGAACTTGCTCAACTTGTGTCCACAAAAGCGGTGAGTGTAAATATAACTCAAAGCTAAATACGTTAACAATACTTCAAAATATTTTAATTAATATACAGTCGGACCTCGATTATCCGCGTTCCGGAAATTGTTGCCACTCTATTAAAATTGGCAACAATTTGTACGGTTCACCTAACATTCGGAAAATCACCTAACATTCTATAATAAAGATCCGAAAGTACCAGAAATTGCCAGAATTAGTAGAAAACAATAAATTCTTCTTAAAATAAATACATTTTTGAAACAAAAACGATTTCGATTTCGAAAGCTTTTATTTAAAAAATGTATCTGTCACAACGAAATTAACAGTAAAAAAGTTTATGGCACACAGCAAAATTATTGATTATAAATATTGGTCAAACTGTAAAATTTTGCTTTCTTTGAGTATAAAATAGATTAAGTGGGCATTATTCTATTCAAAAAATGTTCAATAAGATAGGGGTCCAGAATAAAAAATAAGATATGGAATATAATTTGCCTAGAAAAACTAACGTGGAAGTGAAATAGGGGCGACTCCTAAGCGATAGAAACTGTTTCGGAAGATAGCGGAAGACACCTCCTTCGGGAAAAAATGAACCACGTCCGAGTCATTTGCAAGAAGTTACTTCCGGGATAAGAATTTGGCTATCTACCGTAACTGTTTCTATCGCCTAGACGTCACCTCTTTTTCACTTCGGTGATAGGGATATAACTAAAAAGAATGTAATTCCTTAAATTTATTATGTATACACAGCTACGATCGCACAGTGATATTATGAAAGCGTGCGCCAAAAGGATGACGGAATTCTTAAACACCCGGAAACCGAACTCTACGTGGGACGTTAAAGATGTACGTCGTTGTACGTAAGCAATTTCCCAATTTATTACTTGTGTCTTCGAATTTGCAGGTTGCTAACCGTTTTACGTGTGCAGTTATGACCCAATTTATATGGGGTATGGATGAGAATACGTTCCAAAAAGAAATGGAGTACTCGCCATCTCATAATATTGCAACAATCATGCTGCAACAGTCACTTCGCTGTGTCAAACATTACGGACGTACAGCTTGTTTCCCTTTTCTACGAAGGTTCTTTCCAGTTCGTTTTTTCCCTGCTGCAGCGGAAGATTATTTCAGAAGACTGGCAAGGGAAGCACTGCAGGGAAATATAGTCGGGCATTCTAGTGTCATGAGTCGTCTATCGTATCTAAATCAGAAAAATGATTTGACCGACATGCAAGTTGCTGGGCATACAACCACAATATTGATTGATGGATTCGAAACTGCAGCCATAGTAATATCCCACTGCTTATTAATGGTATGTATAGTGACAAATTGTATGAATATGAGAATACTATTGCCAAAAGATTTTCGCATCCACACGTCGTATATTAGTTAGCAAGAAATCAACGGGTGCAACGCAAACTAAGGGCACGCCTGAATGAATGTGCGGAATCCCTGGCTTTTGATGAAATTACCACAAACACTTATTTAAATCAGTGTATCCAGGAGACACTCCGCCTTTTCCCACCGTTGGCAACGCTCTTCAAAATATGTACCGAATCAGTCACATTAGAAAACGGGTTGAGCAACTCATGTATCGAGTTAAACCCTGGGGATATAGTATATATATCTTCCTACTCATTTCACCACGACCCTAAGTACTACGATGAACCAGAGAAGTACTGGCCTGAACGTTTTGATGATGAATTAGGCGGCGTTAAAAAATATAAAGATATGGGCGTATTTTTACCGTTTGGGGATGGACCGAGGATGTGTCCAGGTATGTATTCCACGTTAGTCACTTCTACAGAGTGACTAACGTGGGACATTTTCATATAGCTTGGTGGAATGCAATGTACACCTCAGGATAATATTTGTCGTTGCTAATAATGTCATAGGATGGCTTTGCGTAATTTTCAGCACACATATTTATCTCTTATTATGTATATGTTACAGGGATGAAATTGGCACTAATGGAAGTTAAAATCGCACTAATGGAACTCGTGAGACATTTCGAATTTGTACCCTCTGACGATACTCGTACAGATAATAAACTGGATTCGGATTCATTTCTGTTGAAGCTGCATGGTGATATCTTGCTGAAAATTAACCCAACTCCTAATATTTAATTAACACTCATGGAACCGGTGTGACATTTTGAATTTGTACCCTCTGGCGATACTCGTACAGTTAATAAACTGGGTTCGAATTGATTGTGGTTCATGCTGCATGGTGATACCTTGCTGAAAATTTACTTAATATATTTAATTAAAATGTCCAAATATTAGTCGAGCTTGCGAAATACAATTAATCGACAACACGAAACCTATGAGTTTTAAGATATGGTTGCCACACGACTTCATATATATGATCATTCACCATCACCAATGATTTTTACTTTATTCTTAAACTAATTCAAAACATTCGATTTAATCGAACACGTTCATATCATTGAAATGCAATAGCGTATACGCGTACATATTTTGCAATTTTTGCTGGGAGAAAATTTGTTTGAATTTTTTTCTCGCAAACTCCGGATTAGAGAAGTTTTGAAATGTACTATCTCCCGCTAGCTCTTCCTCAATACTAATTATTGGATAAATAGCATGATTGGCGAAGAAGCCGAAAAGTTCACGACGACCGATTTGTGCTCGCAACTCTTCATAGGTCGGTATTACATTCCATCTCAACTTTGTAAGATTTGTCCTCAGTTCGTTGTAATAAAATCGGATGAAGAATTCCCTCTTTGTCCTCAGCAAGTCCGGCGACAGGCTTGTGTAGAAAAAGTAATTGAGATCGATTCCAGGACTTCCCCATATGCTCATTTGGTAATCCAGAAACACCATATCTGAGGGAACAGAATTTTCGTCGTATTTGAACATTACATTATTAACCCACAGGTCACCGTGGTTGAGAACTTTAAATTCTCCTGGTAGGGGTTCTTGCATCTTGAGTAAATTTTCCATTAAATTAGTAGCATATTTTTCCATTTTGACGACAATTTCTTCGTAACCATCCCATGTTTTGGCCAAATCGATTAAGCCTTCACAGCTGTGTTTTACGAAAGCATAAAAGTTACTGTTCTCCTTTCGAAGAGCAGCTGTAGCAAGAATGCCATTTTTGAAACCAATCAACAGTGTAGGATCCTGAAAATTGCAGTTTGTGGTTATACACACTATGCAAAATATATAATAAAACAGTACCTTCTTCATTACGCCAACAGAAACGCCGTGGAATTGCGCTAGCCGTTTGAGAACCATAAGTGCATGCGTTTCATCCAACCCCCATTCTCTCGAGGCTAGTTTATACCCCAATGCGTTCAGATCCTCAAAAACAAATGTATTTATGGGATTCTTCACACTGTAAAATATTCTGGAAACGCTTCATGTTAACACAGATACTATGAAAATAAATATCATTCAATCTACTTCGCTCCGAACCGGATCTTCTTTTCCATTAAATTCTCCATTAGCGGCAAAACGTGGTAATAAAAAATTTTCTCCTTAAGAAAAACTTCCATGTCGTCCAAGAAATCTGTTGCGGGACAAGGAGGCGTGCTCTTAATTATGACTGACATAACAGAAGATCCATCTTGCTGTAAGTCGGACCTCACTTTGTACTCTATTTGAACACGGTAAATGAAACTGCAGTAATTGTCACCACTTTTGCTGCCCATGTTGACAATAAGTTTCACAATTTGACAATTGCTATGTTGAAGAGCGTTCTCCAGTACCTCCTCGAAGAAATCGAATGTCAAGTGCTTCGGAAGCACAATAACGGACTTGTCGTACACTATTTCCATTGCGAATGATCTCACAATTCGTAGGAGAGTAGTGCCATTTATATATGGCCCGACCAATGCCGCATAATAAGTGGTTAGAGAGTAATGACATGTCCCTATTGTCATTTAACATTTCTATTGTGTATCGCGTGTTTGAAAACATGAATAGATAGAATTCGTTATTCCACTTATATGTAACAATGGCAACTATCTGGACGGTGGTACATGAATATGCAAACCATTGCACGCACTACTTACGTAACAAATCGACGCTCCATTAAAAAGTCCTGGAATTATCCTTTTTTGTACGATCCTAATATTGGAGAATTCTCTTAATTTCACGATTTTTCATTATGATCGTAATTGAGATCTAGATTTGCATTATTATATCGACAACGACCATCAGTAACAAGGGGGTACAATTTCTATGGCAAGAAATAGTATAACAACTTCATTAAATATTTTACTAGTTCATCCTCCAGTGAACATCCATTTAAGATTTCAGCTGAATTGGTGAGAGAGTAATCTTTGGATATAACCTGCAGAACAGTGCGTACTCGTGTTGAGGCAGACCATGGCACGATAAATAGGTAGTCCATTTAGAGCAGCTGATGTCTCAAAGTGCGTAATATCTACTTCATGATGCAATAATAAGGTGATGTATCAAAACAAAAACCTTTGCTTTTGTCTCGATCTTTTGTCAAATTTTTCCTTATAATATTTCACATGGTTGGCAGCATTGCCAATCGAATTCTAGTAGAAATTACCCACTTTGACAGTTAATCGAGACATCAGCAAATATTGCTAAGGAATGTATAAAGGTAATAAGGAATATTTAAGTCGACTTTGATGCATTTGCCTGATGAGCCGCTTAACAGTGAAAAACTTAAATAAAAATAATGAAAGAACAAAAATAAACCTACAAAATACATATATATATATATATATATTTTCAAAATTATCGTGTGCAAGATTTGAAAGAAGAAATAAAGGAGTAGGAGCAAATCATAACATAACCACTTCAAGAATATGGGAAGATAAATATCGAAATTAAATAAAAAGGCACACAATTATGTAGTGAAATAATAAACTGTGAATTAATTAATTCAATTGCAGATTTCTTCCCATTATTCGTTGTGTTTTTGCCATCATAAAAAATGTTCTTTTATTTGTAATCTATTGTAGTTGTTGCACCAAATTGCATTAAAACAATGAATAGCTGTTTCACAGGCCATATTGTAGGTTGCCATATTTTTAAACTTTAATCCTATTGATAACATGCTCAACCAAATATATGCCCAAAATGTATAAAGGTAATAAGGAATAATTAAGCCGAGTTTGATGCATTTTAGAAGCAAAATACAGATATTTTGAGTGGGATCTGTCTCTCAAGAACAAATATTAAAAATTATGGAAAAACCAAATTTGCCTGATGAGCCGTTTAACAATGAAAAACTCAAATAGAAATGATAATAGAATGATACAATAATAAAGCAAACAAATATTTGAAGGAAGAAATAAAGGAGTAGGGCATAATTTTTAAAATGTTCCATAATTTTTAAAAATTTGTTCATGAGAGACAGATCCTCACCCAAAATGTCTGTATTTCGCCTCCAAAATGCATCAAACTCGACTTAAATATTCCTTATTACATTTATACATTCCTTGGCAATATTTGGTTCAGCATGCATCGTTATCAATAGGATTTCCAATGTAATTTTTTTGTTGTTTTCCAGTTAAAAATTTGCTTACTATCATTTATAATATTATATATCGTCATAGAATAAGTATTGTGTAAATATTTTTCATAAAAATGGTTATTACTTATGTTTTTGTAATCAGCTCTCTTTGAATTTATTAGGAAAAATTACGCACAAAATTCCATCTCAATCTCCTACTCCCTGTAATCCAGAATACCTAATTTTCCCCCAAAGCGGATTTTTTCGCTTTCGAACTTCATTCAGAATAAGGTGAATGCGAGAATGCGAAAAAATTCACAGAAAAATTTTGTTCAAAATAAGTCGAAGGCGAAGAGCGAGTAATTGACATCCAGAATAAGGCTGATTGTTTTATTTCAGGCATCCAGTGTAAGAGCATGTGATATAGTTTTGAAACTTGATGCTGGCTGTCAACATATTTTATCTCAATTCAACTACTGGTATGAAAAATGGGGTCTCTGGGTACCTACCGATGTATGGTAATTTGTGTTCTCTATCAGCCATATTCTATATATACGCCAGGGAGATTTCTCGCATGTAAAAAAATTCTCGTCTCATTTTGAATGAATAGGGAGAAGCGAAAAATGCGAGGTGCGGATTCGAATTTTCGAAAATTGTGGTTGAAAAAAGATTCGTGTTGTCATATTGCAATTTAAGTTGTTATGTGTGTTGCCATATTGTAATTTAAATTGTAATGTGTGTTGCCCCATTGTAATTTAATTTTGTAATATTTTTCAATATTTTATATATTGAAACAGCTGTTTATTGTTTCGTGTTGCCATATTGCAATTTAAGTTGTTATGTGTGTTGCCATATTGTAATTTAAATTGCAATGTGTGTTGCACCATTGTAATTTAATTTTTTAATTTTTAATTTTTGCAACATCTACAACAAATTACAAAGCATACATCGTTATCAATAGGATTTGAGGCAAGAATTGCATATGCATATGACAATATGTTACAAGTGTAACGTCATCTGTTACTGGTATATCTGCTGTAAAAATAGTACTGGTCCTAGTACAATTCCCTGTGGGGCCCCAGACTATATAGTTCCAATATTTGACTCGTCCCCATAGATATTGACATAAAAGGTTCTATCATTTGAATATGACTTTAATAATAGATAAAATGGAGTGAGTGAAACACATTTTAGTTTATATAAAAATTGTTTATTTTCCAAGCTTTCCCTGATCATCTTTACAATCGTTCAGGTGCATTGCTCAGCTATACCATGTATACCTTTAATATGGAATTAAATATAAGTGTCAGGAACACTATTGGTCTGTTCCCGTACTGCAAGAATCTACTAGTTTTTACTACGATAACGAATTTTCCTTTATGATATCGAAGAAAATAGTAAAATCGAGTAGATTCTTGCAGTACGGGAACAGACCATATTTCTTTCTTTGGTAATGCTTTTATGACTTTATAATCTATTAGGTCATATCCTGGAGTTTTCTTATTTAGATTTTTTACCTCATAACACATTGTATTGGTTTGCTTAAATACATTTATAGAGCTCTCTTCATTTTGGATTGCAAACTCGATATCCCCACCATAAATGCTTAGCATTGAAGTCGCTACCAACTATACATTTTTACCGAGGCTCTTAAAGAAATTCTCGTATTGGCTATTGAATCTTGGCGGAATCTTGTACCGGATTTCGTTAACTCAGTGGGTTTCAATTGTCAATTCCATTGTATACATTTCAAATAAATCTTCATAGAGTAGTTTAACCCGGTAAAAAGTTCCAATGTAAATGCCGTTTTAACCGAGTATATTGATATTTTCGACTTATTACATGAACTTGTAGTAAAATTTCTATTGGGCTATATGAAAACTTGGTCAAGATACCCCATTTTTAATGCCAGTAGTTGTTTTTTATATTAAGACCAGTAAGGAAAGTAGTAAAGTCGGACGGGGCCGACTATATGATACCCTTTACACTTTGGCTATGTTAAAGAGATCCATCCTAACAGACCTCGCATTTTTTAAGGACAATTGACATGAAATTGGACTAAATTCAATATCTATCAGCCTTATTCTGGATATTCGCCGGGAGATATCTCGCATGTAAAAAAAAATTTGCTTTCACATTCTCGCCTTATTCTGAATGAATAGGGAGCCGCAAAAAATGTGAGATGCGGATTCGAGTTTTCGAAAATGGTGGTTGAAAAAAATATTCGTATTGTCATATTGTAATTTAAGTTGTAATGTGTGTTACCATATTGTAATTTAAGTTGCAATGTGTGTTGCCCCATTGTAATTTAATTGTGTAATATTTTTCAATATTTTATTTATTAATTTTTTATTTGAAATGTTTACTTTTTATTGTTATTTAAACATTATAACAATACAAATGTGAAACATCAATAATCCGCTGTATAAATGCTTTGAAATTAAAAGAAAATAAATTAAAGTTTGAAAATATGGAAACCTACAATATGGCATGTGAAACAGCTGTTCATTGTTTTGAAGCAATTTGGTGCAACAACTACAATAGATTACAAATAAAAGAACATTTTTATGATGGCAAAAATACAACGAATAATGGGAAGAAATCTGCGATTGAATTAATTAATTCACAGTTTATTATTTCACTACATAATTATGTGCCTTTTTATTTAATTTCGGTATTTATCTCCCCAAATTCTTAAAGTGGCCAGTTATGTTATGATTTGCTCCTACTCCTTTATTTCTTCAAATCATGT